ATATATAGGGTATATAGTGGGTATATTAGGGTCCCAGGGTTTAGGGGCCCATACTAGGGGCCCATGGGTTCTACCTTCGACTAAAGGCTTGAGGATATTGGGTTTCCACCTTCTGGGCTTCTTCCATACATGACGCGGATCACTTGCATAGGGTCCCTTACTATGACAAAAGCAATTAGAATAGACTCCATGTCGAAACTAACTTCGCCCCTCCTAAACCAAAACCCTAAACCCCTAAACCCCTGAACCCTAAACCCCTGAACCCTAAACCCCTCAACCCCTAAACCCTAAACCTCTCAACCCCTAAACCCTAAACCGGATTCTGGAGAGGAGCCTGGGCTCCTTTCCTTCTCCGACTTCCTGGCCTCCCAAAACGACGCCTCTGGAGATTTGACCCTCTCAGGCGGCGTGGTTGTTGCAGAATGGGAAATACAAGGGTTATACAATTATACGTGTATGTATGTTCTATATATATATATATGCGTGTGTATGCATATACTAGTGTCTCTCCCTTTCTCTCTCTCTCTCTCTCTCTCTCTCTTTGAAGTGTCTGGTAGAGGGAGGTCATGTTCTGCAGATGTTTGGGTTAGCTCTTGGGACTTTGGCTTGGCCATTGGAGGCTCACAGGGCTTTGAGATCCCAAGGCGTATAAGGGCCTTAATAATTAGAATGGGGTTTCGGGGCCCATATATTATTATACTATATTTATAATAAGGAACCACCAAAATAGCATAGGTAACTATTTAGGCCCCTACATTATCTCTGTCCTTCAGCGAAGCTAAGTATACTGGTGCAGGTCTAAGGAACCTTGACGAAGGTTTTTTGAACTCTGTGGGGGGTTTCCGAAAATGGGGGACCCTAAAAATAGTACTGGTACCCCAAATAGTAGGATCCGTATTTATCAGGACCCCCAAATAAGGTACCCCTCATTTTTGGAAACTCCCCTGTAACCTCTCTACACCCTCAAAAAAAACGCCTTCAAAGGGGGTGTCCTTGCTTGGGGCATCTGTTGTTTGCTCTTACTGTTTCGGACCCAGGCCTGGTCTGATTGGGAAGGTGAGTATACGAATAAAGGGGCCTGAATTATTACAGTAGAATACGGTTTTGGGGGTTCCTTACTATAGTTATAGTATAATATATTCTGATTGAATACGTCCTCCTCTGATGCTTCAGTGGATGGTGCTGCTAGGCGCAGGGCTTATCGTATCCCAACCCCTGGACCGCCGAAATTCGGAACTCCAAAAAGCCTTAAAGCCGGACACCCTAAACTCCTGAACCTTCAAGCCTCTGATGTAGGGGCCTGAAGAAGTACCAATACTATTGCGGGGCAAAAAGCAACTACAGTATAATATACCCCTAAGTATTAAGGCCCCTACATTGTTCCAAGCCCAATGTCCCACATCTGTACAATCAGACCCCTCAACGAAGCCCTTTACGCACCCCTGCAGGATCCCTGAAATCTGAAAGACCCCGTTTAGCCTACTATGGAACGCAAGTCGCAGGCGGCAGCTATATTCTTAGCGACAACTGCTCGCTGGGTTCCTTGACGAGCCTGCGACCGCATGACTTCATACTGCAGCCTTTGGAGTGCTGTATATACGGGCTTAAACACAAGAATAATTAGCACTCTGGGTGACACTAGTTAACATCATACTCCGGCTTTATATCTAGGACATTTTCTGGTGGGTAGTTACCGTTATAGGAGCCTTATAGACGGTCTATACACCTTATGGAAGCCTTATAGAAGCCCTATATACCCTATAGTTTCCTTTAAGTATAAGGGCCAATTATTCACACCTCCGTGTACGGGTGTGCGGTTCAAGGATTCGGTGGATAAGGCTTCGGCTGTAGGCATGGCTTGGGGTTCCGGGGGTTTGAGGTTGGGTTTGGGGCTTGAGGGTTGAGGGTTCGAGTATTTAGTAATGCCTTTCGCCAGGGCATATCAGGCTAAGAATAGTATATGAACCCTTATAAAGCCTAAGGCCAGCAGATTGAGCTGTAGTTTGAGGGATTGGGCTTGTGGGTGTTGCGAGACCCTAATTGCATGTAGACGCCAGCCGAGTCAGACTTCGGAAACGTCCTGAGCTCTCACTGAAACCTAAAGCACCCACCTATAGTCTCCATTGTAGTTCCTTTTTGGGATACTTTATAAAGTCCTTAATATATAGTTGGTTAAACCAAAAAAAGGAACTACGATGGAGACTATAGGCAGACATCGCCTAACCCCAAACGAGGATGTTGAAGCATGCTTGCCACCGCACCAGCATATCCGATAGACTGATGCTCGACCTTTCGACGTTTAGGTCCAGGACCAGGAACCTGAGTTTACACCCCAGAGATCCTGCAGCTCATCAGACCCACATAGACTTAAATCTTCACATCAAGCGGTACAACTACCTATAGAGTATCTAGCCTGACCCTACAAGCCCTTGACCCAAAATAGTACATAGTCGAACCTTCGAGAGACGCAGAAAGGGCCTCCCAAGGGATGAAGCTAGATCCTCTGTATACACGTATGCATAAACCCCAATTCGTATCCCGAAGTCGCCAAGTCATTTAATCCTGAAGTTGAGGGTTTGGGGTCCTGTTTAGGGTTTACGGTTTGGGGAAATGCCAAGTCCCTGGATTCAAAACCCCTTTTGAACACCCTAAACCCTAAACCCTAAACCCTAAACCCTAAACCCTAAACCCCTAACCCCTAAGCCCCTATGTTGAACTTAGACCCCACCTATAAACCTCCAAGCGTGTGATGCTTGTGCTTTTGACAGTCTTGACAGCAGACGTGCCGGTGAACACTTCCTCTCGAGACTGGGCGTTCCCTGCCCCACAGTAGCCGTTGCGAGCGCTGGAAAATAGTGGCGGCCGTGCAAGATCACAGACCACTAGTGACACTGCAGTGTCAGTGGTAGCGGAGCCTGACGGCTCTCGATCCCTGGACGTGATGTCGAGTGGTCTGTGGCAAAGCAGAGATGGCCATGGCTACGCTTACGGCTCCGAGCAGTGGCAGTGGGGCAGGGGAGAAGGACCTGAGGCTTGGCCCACTTGGTCGGCGATGGGCTCTGCAGCACAAGCAAGTGGACACAATGGCAGCAGTGACTTGGCTGTTGCAGGACAAGATGATGCAGCGGAGGCCAGACGAGAGGCTCCCGATCCTGGCTCTATGCCGGGCCCTAGTTGGAGCCGCGGGACCACTCAGAGGCAGTGGGATGGGGACAGCTGGCAAGGACGACACTGGGACAACGCGGGGTGGCGTTGGAGTCAGTGGTGGCAGCCTGGAGGTCCGAACACCAGGGGCGATTTTTCAGATCCACCTGCATGGGGTGGATGGGGCAGCTACAGACTTTGGAAGAGGTCTGTCAGGAGGTGGGACGCCAACACGGACGTCCCTGTGTGGAGACGTTTTGAGAAGCTTGCGAAGCAGATGGACTGGGAATTGCAGGCAAAGTTTGAGCATGTCTCGGACCAGACGCTGAACTCGGCCGCTTACCTGGACGAGGTGCTCAGGATTCTCGATGCCGTGGCGGGTGAGAAGGAGGCGAGCGAGAAGCGGCGAGTGGTCAGAGCAGCTCTGTTCGAAGGCCAGCGCCGAAAGGATGAGACGCTTTCCCAGTTTGCTTTACGAAGAGAGCAGGAGTTCCTCGGGATGGAGCCGTACTTGCCTATGGCTCCCGAGCTCAAGGCCTTCATTCTCGAGGAGACTGCGGGCTTGACGAAGCAGGGCGTGCAGAACCTTCGTACCTTGACTGGGGGCGGCACGGACTACCACCGAGTCATGAATGCCCTGAAGCTTCTTGATGTTGAGGAAGAGCCTATGATGAAGGGGAAAAGCACGCTGATGGTGGCTGGAGAAGGAGCTGACGAGGAAGAGAGTGACGACAGCGACATGGAGAATCTCCTTGCAGAGGTGGATGGCCTTGATGAAGGAGATGCTCTCGATGTTCTGGCGGCTTGGGAAAAGGGAAGGGACAAGCCCAAGCGGACATGGAAGGAGAACAAAGACAGGAAGTTGGCCGCTCGCAAGGACCGGCGAGTTTTCGGACGTGACGGTCGAAGAGGTCGCTTGTCTCTTGAGGAGCTCAAAAAGGTGACGAAGTGCGCGAATTGCGGAGAGAAAGGACACTGGAGGGATGAGTGCAAAAATCCCTACCGACCTCGGCCGGCTGGCGTCGCAAGGCCGGAGACAGGAGCTCCTCCCAAGGCGGTTTCCTTCGTCTACTACGGTTCTGCCGAGGACGACCCCAGCTCCTCCACGTTCGTTGGGCTTGCTTGTGCAATGGCGACCGCTCTCGGAGAAGTCTGCGAGGGCCCCCAGGAGAACCCCGATTACCCGATTCACCACAAGTTCACCGAGGTGAGGGACCGCGAGGGCTCTGGTGAGGTTCTCGATTACCCGATTCTGCAAAAGTTCGAGAAGGACAAGGACTTCGAGGGCTGTGGCCAGGTGATGTTCGAATCCCTTGAGGACCCCGATTACACGATTCACCGCAAGTTCACGGAGGCGAGGGACTGCGAGGGCTCTGGCGAGGTTCTCGATTACCCGATTCTGCGAAAGTTCGAGAAGGACAAGGACTTCGAGGGCTGTGACCATGTGAGGTTCAAGTCCCTTGAGGACCCCGATTACGCGATTCACCGCAAGTTCACGGAGGTGAGGGCCCGAGAGGGATGTCATATAGGCTTCGAGTGGTGTGGTGCCGT